TTTAAGGAGTCAAACCACATTGTTAACTCTGCAAAAACATGAATCTTAACATTATTTTTTTTCTCCTGAGACAAAAAAGGACCTTCAATGATTGTACAGGATAACAAAAACTTAGGCCTGAGAATGAGTTCTTTTTTTAATATCAGGTGTGCTTCGCAGGACTGACTCCAGCTGTCAAATGGGACTCATCTGGCTTTCTGTATTAAGCCCAGAAGTTCAGTTACAGTGGAGAAAACTCTTAGAATGGGATTAAAAATGCTGCAGTGTTCAAAATGTTATAAGGCAGTTATCAGAAAGAGGAGAAAGTGGGGGAAAACGTTACAACCAAGGCACCGACCTTCACCTTCCCCTTGACAAAGCTGGCAATGTCCTCTTTGTTGTCAAAGACAGACAAGGTGTGGAGGAGATTTTGTTCCAGCCAGTCCCAATGCTCGTTTATTTCCTCTAACGTTGCACCTGGGTTAGAACAAAAACATACAGAGATTAAAAGACAAATTCCCAGAACAGGAATTCGTTTTCCAAATATCACCAATCCTTTGTTTATGGTATTAAAACATCCCGGGTTCTCACATGCTGGACCAGTTTGCCAGTGGACAAGGAAGGCACCCATTCCTGGACCCACGATCTCCCCCACCACAGCACTGGGGTTCGCGACCACCTGTACCACTGCCACACAGATGGGCCAGCCGACCAATTAGGTCTCCTGCTCTGTGGGTGTTCTGCCTTCCACGCATGTGGAATTCATACCACCTCCAAACAAGTGACAGAAATATTTGTCATTATACAGCTATTCCAGGGATACAGGCCCCAAGCAGCAGACTGGATCACAATAGTTTCACATAGTTTCACCTCAAGAGGGACCCCAGCCCAGGTTCACAGGAAGAGCCTCTTGAGAAAGATCTGCTGGCAGCCCAATGACGTGACCACTTACAATAAGCAGCCTAGGAAATGTTCAGGTTTACACATTTGTTCTCCATATCATTTAGAACAACATCCCTTCAACACATATAGGACAAGAGGTTTCATAGTACATGTTAAAACAAAAACACGGGCCAGCCGAGTAGCTCAATTAGTTAAGAGCTCGCTCAAGAGTATGAGCTCTGAGCAACAGTGGTTCGATTCCCGGCCCGAGCTGAGTTGCCACTGAGCTGCCAACAGGTGGCAGGATGGCTCAGCTGAAAAACAACAACAACAACAACAACAACAACAACAAAAAACACGTTAAATTATATCTGGTAAGTTGATTTCTTTCAAAGGCAACAACAACCCAAAAAAATCACCCTATTATTGAAGCCTTAAGTAACACAGTTCCCAAAAAGCTTGGTGGTTTTAGTCGTCCATATTCCCTCTCCAGGAGCCTCCTCATCCTTTCCACTGGACAACGGGCACCTGGGCACAGGGACTGTGCCAGTTCCTAGTGATGGACTTGGCACATAACCAGTGTCGATAAAGCCCACTGGCTTGAAGCAAGCACGGTACTGGACAAGAAAAAGCAGGTGTGCATCAGGAATGTCTGGTCTGGAAACAGATAACTACCTGGCTAGAAGGGCCAGGTTTCCAAAATGGGAAGCAGGAGACATTCTAACCTCCCAGAAATGAAGGGCTACCGGACAAACCACAGCACAAGTGAGAGGCGTGACGGTTAACAGAGCCACATGCAGCTTACACAGGAGCCAGACGTTTTCCTAACACTGAACTTTCTCTCTGTTACTGGCAGCTTTCCTCTCCCAAGCGTATAAATGCATGTGAGGATCTTACAAATACCCACGTGTAAAGAGGCCAGAAAACTCACTCTGGATTTGTGGATCTGGGATTGGGCAGTAGAAGAACATCTGTGTTAGGACTGTTTGGGCAGCTTGGGAAGGAGTAAACAGAAGAATCTAAGAAGACTTCGTAAGGACAAATGAGAGTTTAAAACAATGGTATTTATTTCCTTGCGTTCTTCCCATGTTCCCAGAGCAATGTCCTCCAGCCATCACTAAAGCCAGTCTTCTCATCATGGAGGGCTGGCTCCATGGCTCTGTCCACCCCGCAACACTGTTCACTGGTTCAGGACTCCCGGGCTTTGCACCAAGAGCACCTGACCAGGGTCTTCGTAAGCTGGGGCCGCTGTGACAAAATACCACAGACTGAGTGTCAAACAACTGACTTTCTTACAGTTCTGGAGGCTGGGAGTCCAAGATCAAGGTGCCAGAAGGTACAGTTCCTGGTGAGGACCCCTTGCTGGCTTGTAGACAGCTTCCTTCTCGCTGTGTCCTCACATGGCAGAGAGAGAGAAATTAGGATCTCTGGTCTCTCTTCCTCTTCTTATGAGGACACTAATCCCATCATGGGGCCCCACCCTCATGACCTCATTTAAACCTAATACCTTCTAAAGTCCTCACCTCCAAACACGATGGCACTGGGGGTTGGGGACTTCAACATTTTAATTTTGCAAGGGTCACAAGTTAGTCCGTCACAACCAGTGGCCCTGCCCAGCTATCCACAGTCACACCTCCCTTGTCTTGCTCTTTAAGGTTCAATAAATGCAAGCAGCAGCCCACCTGGGGTTTAGGAAAGCTAGCTCTGGGGTGAGTGTTCATGACCCTCTTGCTACTACTTCCCTCCCACTAGGAGGCCCCTGTGGTGTCCTGAAACCCTGAAAGGCAAAGACCATTTTGAAACATCCAACAGAGCAGTTCCAGTTCGGGCCTCCACAGCCTGACCCCCTGAAAGCTTCCAGACGCTGTCTATCTGAACTTAGGACCCACACTGCCTGCCTGATTCCTCATACTCAGGGCTAATGTGGCTTAGCATACATCCAGATTGCCAGCCACTTGCTTAAAATTCCTTCCCCAGCTCATTCGGAGTCCTCAGATGGCAGCTGTGCAGGTATCCATCACCCCTCCCCCAAATAAAAATCTAAATCTGGTGGGTCAGCAATGGTGTCTTTGCAGCAGGCAAAGCACGTCACACAGTTAATCTCAAGAGAGCGTCGCTGGGGCTTCACTGAAGCCAGTAAATACCTTGCGGTTGCCGGGTCTCTGCTCCCCTCTGGCACCTTCAGGTTTTCTCTTTCTAGATCCTTATCCTTTGTTACCCATCATCATAAAACCAACTGGTCAGAAAACTTTTTTTAAAAGCAAGGAATTTAGGGAACAGGGAGTATTTTTATTGGCCTTCAATCTTTCGCTGTACGTTTTCACATACTTCCTACTTACAAACACAGACAAAGACCTGGAGGGATGAGGAAGAACAAGAAAGGGGAGACAGGACCCAGCTTTGTGACCTTTCTATCCTAGACACTGTCTCATTGATGTGTAATGAAGACTGAGCAAGGAAATGGAGGCTCCAATCCCTCTCCAGCGTCACATGTATCGCGTGAAAGGCAAACCAGGTACGGACTCATTCTTTCCAACCTTGAAGTATCCTGGAGTCCTCCCAGAATAAACTGCACTTCAATTTTTAAATGACATTTACGTAAATCCTTAGGCCCAGTGCTTCCTAGGGTTTGACACTTTAAAAAACTACTTTGTGCTTGTACTTAACAGCGAGCTCTCCCTGCAATCCCATTTTCCTGCGTGCACCTTCCTGGGTGAGGTGAAGAAGGTTTTCATTTATCCTGCTATTACGCTCGTAGGGCCGACACAGTAACCCATCAACAGCTAACAATGTGCGTCTTCCTCAACTGATAACTACAGACACTGTGGATAAATTATAATCAAGTCCCAACACAGTACACTATGTGGAATTAAGACTTGAAACAGTCAGGGCTGACCGAGTGGCACGTTGGTTAAGAGCTGGCTTGGGATGCCACAGGGCCCAGGTTCGGATCCCATGTATGAGGGCCAGTGACACCGCCCTCTACAGCTAAGATGCTGAACAGCTCAACCTGGAGCTGGGCTGCCGTGAGTCCCAGATGACAGACAGCATAGGCTGCAGCCCCTGCTGCAGTGGGTTGCCATGGGCTACCGTGTGTAGCCAGCAGCCAGCGTGAGCGGCCAGCAGCCACCATGAGTGGCCATCCAGAAGCCGGCAACTGATCTGCCTCACCCGGAAAGAGCGCANCTTGGGCCAGTGAAGCAACATCCTCCACAACTAGACTGAAGAACAAAGAAACAACAGCAACTTGTCTGTTCCCCTCCCCCCAATTTCCCAGTGCTGTTCCCCTCCCCCAATTCCCCAATAAAATCTTTGGGGGGGGGGAAAAAAAAGTAAGTCTTTTCTAAAAATACTAATGAATCATTTTCCTCATTAGGTTCAAAACTTGGGGTATAAAGCCAATCACTACCTGAATGTATGCTATCAGACATTTCACTACCACTATATACTTTATAGTCCTCTACGGTAGCAAAGGAGCGTTTTGGCTGAGGTTATGAACCTCCAAAGAATCTGGAGACAACACTAGACTCTCACTAGCCCAGAGACAGCACCGAGAGGAAGCCATATAACAAACCTTACTAAAAGAGCCCTTATCTTACATTAGTTTACCCTCATATATTTACCTTCTCACAGTTTGCCACCTCTAGAAGCCTAAATTCCTTTTTCCTTTGTCTTGTCTTTTCTCTACATATGTTGTTCTTTACTAAGATGCTATTTAAGCCCCAAGTTCTAACCACCCCTTAGAGTTACCCATCACTGAGTTTCTCCCATGTGTATCGGTACTATACATGTTGGTAAACTGTTTTTCTATTGTTAATATGACTTTTGTGAGTTTAATTTCCAGGGCCCCCGTCGCAGAACCTAGAAGGGGAGAGGAAAATATTTCTTCCTCCCCTACAGCAGCTTTCCTAAAGCTACTATAGCAGAAATTAATTTTTTTCTTCCAAATTAAGACGAGAAATCCCTAAATCAAAAAAATCCCTACAACCTACATTAGACTAAGAAAAGGGAGGTAAGTGTGAAAAATAACCATGAAATGGGCATTTCTCTAGCTAAGTCCCATTGCAATCTGATCCAGGGACCAAGCCACACTCAGTTGGACCATGCAGAGGTGTAACCCATGAGCTGGACACGACCCCACCACAGCCTGGACCCAACTGCTAACCCCACAGGTAACACCAGGAGGATACAAGCCAACACAGCCACAACGCTGGCTGGATTTAGGAGATCTCTGTATTCCACAAGTACCCCCAACCCCCAGAGGGAAAGAATGCTTCTGTTCTGTCCCTTTAAAATCAAGAATTCACTTTGACAACTTTTACCAAAAGCCAAAGCACTTAGTGTATTGGAAAGGCAAACTTTTAAAGAAAAAAACAAACAAAAATCAATGATCTGGGATGTTTTACCTAAAGGGAGGAAAACTGTATTATAGGCTTCTGTGTTAAAGGGTTTAAAAAGAGAGTTAAATTTAGAATAAGAAACAGCCTTTCCCTGCCTGATAGGGTGTTTAAAGCAATGGTTACCGTCATGTTCTTGCAATGAGATCAGTTATATAAGATGTAAGTCACAGGAGATATTAGCCGACACTTCCCAAAATGTTCTTCTCTTGCCATCTCAAAATTTAATGGGCTTTCATTACATTTAATTAACATTTTAAGAATAAATATCTACACTTAGGAGGCAGAAAGTGCTACGTCCAACCAAATAAGCTGTGACAAGATGTCACAACTACATAAAAGTTGGGAGTAACGAATTTAAGGAGTCAAACCACATTGTTAACTCTGCAAAAACATGAATCTTAACATTATTTTTTTTCTCCTGAGACAAAAAAGGACCTTCAATGATTGTACAGGATAACAAAAACTTAGGCCTGAGAATGAGTTCTTTTTTTAATATCAGGTGTGCTTCGCTGGACTGACTCCAGCTGTCAAATGGGACTCATCTGGCTTTCTGTATTAAGCCCAGAAGTTCAGTTACAGTGGAGAAAACTCTTAGAATGGGATTAAAAATGCTGCAGTGTTCAAAATGTTATAAGGCAGTTATCAGAAAGAGGAGAAAGTGGGGGAAAACGTTACAACCAAGGCACCGACCTTCACCTTCCCCTTGACAAAGCTGGCAATGTCCTCTTTGTTGTCAAAGACAGACAAGGTGTGGAGGAGATTTTGTTCCAGCCAGTCCCAATGCTCGTTTATTTCCTCTAACGTTGCACCTGGGTTAGAACAAAAACATACAGAGATTAAAAGACAAATTCCCAGAACAGGAATTCGTTTTCCAAATATCACCAATCCTTTGTTTATGGTATTAAAACATCCCGGGTTCTCACATGCTGGACCAGTTTGCCAGCGGACAAGGAAGGCACCCATTCCTGGACCCACGATCTCCCCCACCACAGCACTGGGGTTCGCGACCACCTGTACCACTGCCACACAGATGGGCCAGCCGACCAATTAGGTCTCCTGCTCTGTGGGTGTTCTGCCTTCCACGCATGTGGAATTCATACCACCTCCAAACAAGTGACAGAAATATTTGTCATTATACAGCTATTCCAGGGATACAGGCCCCAAGCAGCAGACTGGATCACAATAGTTTCACATAGTTTCACCTCAAGAGGGACCCCAGCCCAGGTTCACAGGAAGAGCCTCTTGAGAAAGATCTGCTGGCAGCCCAATGACGTGACCACTTACAATAAGCAGCCTAGGAAATGTTCAGGTTTACACATTTGTTCTCCATATCATTTAGAACAACATCCCTTCAACACATATAGGACAAGAGGTTTCATAGTACATGTTAAAACAAAAACACGGGCC